GAAATCATGATAATCCGAAAGCATATCGGCCTTAATTAAAGATATAATCTGTAACCTTTAATTATGATATTGAATCGGCCTTATTGAAAGCATATAATCTGTAAACCTTCGATTTGAAATTATTATATTGAATCGGCCTTATTGAAACATATAATCTGTAACCTTCGGATTTGAAATTATGATACTGAATCGCCTTAATTAAAGATAGAATCTGTAACCTTCAGATTTAATTATGATAATCGAAAGCATATCGGCTTAATTAAACATATAATCTGTAACCTCGATTTGAAAATTATATAATCCGAAAGCATATCGGATTAAAGCATATAATCTGTAACCTTTGAAATTATATTGAATATTGATATAATCTGTAACCTTCGATTTGAAAATGCTGAATCGGCCATAATCTGTAACCTTCGGATTTGAAATTATGACATTGAATCGGCTTATTGAAAGCATATAATCTGAACCATGATAATCCGAAAGCATATCGACTTAATTAAAGCATATAATCTGTAACTTCGGATTAGAAATTATGATATTGAATCGCCTAATTAAAGCATATAATCTGTAACCTCATGTCAAAAAACCAACAGGGAAATAGCCATATTAATCAGAGAAGCGTTCATCCATAACGACATTCCATATAGACATCGGAGAAAGCTGAGAAGAATATGTAACCTCACAAAAAATATAAAAAAGAAATTAAAAATTAAGAAATAAAAATAAATAACAAATAAACTGTATAAAAAATTGCTACTGTGTTGAAGAACTGTGTAGCACATGTCACGGATCTACAATGCCACGTTAAGAGAGAGAGAGAGAAAGAGAGAAGGAGGGAGAGAGAGAGAGAGAGAGAGAGAGAGAGAGAAAGGAGAGAAGAGAGAGAGAGAGAGAGAAGAGAAGAGAGAGAGAGAGAGAGAGAAAGAAAGAGAGAAGGAGAAGAGATAGAGAGAGAGACGAGAGACCTCCCCAAGAATTAAGTCACCCTAAACTTGGTCCAGCTCTCGTCTAGTATAGACCATGCTTCTCGGCATTGACCTAAGAAAGGTCACGCCGGCCATAGAAGCGACCTGCACCCGACCTGACCTTGCTTATAGGATCCCATGCTAGTTATCTGTTCCTCCATTTTTCGTTTGTCATTAAAGAAATCTAATCATCTAAGAATTAACCTAATTCACCAGGTAATATAGAATTCTTGTTAAATAGTCAAAGAGAACATCCTATTGTGTATCTCTCTCTTCTCTCTCCCTCTCTCTCTCTCTCTCTCTCTCTCTCTCTCTCTCTCTCTCTCCTCTCTCTCCTCTCTCTCTCTCTCTCTCTTCTCCCTCTCCTCTGTGGTTTGTGTGTGTGTGTCGTGTGTGTGTGTGTGTGTGTGTGTGTGTGTGTGTGTGATGTGTGTGTGTGTGTGTGTGTGGACGCGCGCCCGAGTGTGTGTGTGTGCGTGCGCGAGTGTGGTTGTGTGTGCCTGTATGTATACTTGTCTCTGTGTACAACTATGCTGCAACATATCTGCTATTTGAGAGCACTCCATCTCGCTCTCACTTACAACGTTTTGAAATACAAATGAGACTCCGACAGCCATGCTAGTTACATATGCATGATACACGATAGCCTAGGCGATGCATCAAAACAGATTGTAATAACAATGCAAAAAGCACGTATTAATAAAAGAATAGAGGATATTCCGTTTCATGGGTGTGTTCCATGGTAGTTGACTCTCATTACCGTCAGATAACTTGGTTTTATTAAGGAATTTCATTGGAATAGAGTAGAGACAATTATACTCGTGGGTGATATTTTTGAGAACGAAAAAACGAGGATTTTACTTATACCATGTGGGTGATCTTAATAGGGTTTAATTATATACTTTATAAAGACGTAATGCAAATGTATTCTGTGTTTGGTGTAAAATTGGTACTCTTTATATGAGAGAGAGAGAGAGGGGGGAGAGAAGAGAAAGAGAGAGAGAGAGAGAGGGGGAGAGAAAGGTGAGAGAGAGAGAGAGGGGAGAAAGGAGAGAAAGAGGAGAGAAGAGAGGTGAGAGAAGAGAGAGGGGGGGAGAGAAAGGGAGTGAGAAGAGAAGAGAGGGGGGGGGGGAGAGAAAGGGACAAAGTGAGAGAGAGAGAGAGAGAGAGAGAAGAAGAGAGAGAGAGGGGGGAGAGGAGGGAGAAGGGAGAGAAGAGGAGTGGATGAGACAGAATTGATAGACAGGAGAGAGAGTATATCAATTAAACTATATATATATAATATATATATATATATATATAATATATATATATATTATATATATTATATATTAGTATATTATATACATTGTTGTGTGAATACCAAAATAACCATCCTTTAAAGGAAGAGAAAATGATAATGTTTTATATCTTCTTCCATGTACATTCAGAGCGCTTATAAATTGATAAACAGATTATATTTTCATTGAGTAAAACGTGATAAAACAGACCAGACAGACAGAGAGAGAGAGAGACAGAAGAAGAGAGAGAGAGAGAGAGAGAGAGAGAGAGGAGAGAAGAGAATAGAGAAATTGATCAATTTTCATGCAGAGTGCACCTTCTCTGCCCGAGGGAGAGGGAGGTATACAATCATATCTTTTATACACCAAAAACTAATTTATTTTAGTGAAATAAACAAACAGGTACAAGAGCCAATACCACTACTAAACTCACTCCACGCACATCAGTATTCCTACCCTTTTATTATATTCATTTGTTAGAACTTAACATCAATATATCATCATTTGTTTAGAACTTTAAACATCAAATATTATTCATCTATATTCATTTGTTTAGAACTTTAAATATCAAATATTATTATTTATATTCATTTTGTTTGAACTTAGACATCAATATCATTCTCTATATAATATAAACATCAAATATTATTCATCTATATTCATTTGTTTAGAACTTTAGACATCAAAATATTCATCTATATTCATTTGTTTAGAACTTTAAACATCAAATATTATTCATCTATATTCATTTGTTTAGAACCTTAAACACTAAACATTATGCACCTATTTTAATTTTTTAGAATATTATACTGAATATTATTCATCTATTTTCATTTTTAGGACATTAAACGTTGAATATTATGCACCTATTGTCATTTGTTTAGAACTTTAAACGTTGAACATTTATTCATCTAATTCATTTGTTTTGAACATTAGACATCAAATGTTATTCACCTAATTTCATTTTTTAGAACATCAAACATGAATATTTTCATCTATATTCATTTGTGTAAAAACATTAAATATTAAATATTATTCACCTATTTTCATTTTTTTTTTTTAATCAAACATTGAACATTATTCATCTGTATTCATTTGTTTAGAACATTGAACATCAAATACTATTCATCTACATACCCATACAAACATACATCTCTATAGAGACACCCTCAAACCCTCATTTATATACCCATATAAGCATACAATACCCTTCTCTCTCTCTCCTTCCCCCAAACCCACATCTATACACCCGTATAAAATATCCCAGAATAGACAACGCTAAACCCTCACCTATACACCCATGTATACATTCAAAACAATATAGACAACCTCAAGCCCATACAAAGATACAATGTCCCTATATAGAGAACCCCAAACCTTCACCTATACGCCTATACAATCATACAAAACACCCTCAAACCCACTTCTAAACATCCACGCAAACATACAACAAAATATCCCTCTACAGACAACCTCAAACCCTCATTTATATACCCATACAATCACACAATATCTTTCCTATATAACCATCACAAAAAAAAAAAAATACAACATCCCTGGATAGACACCCTCAAACCCTCATCTATATACCCATACAAGTATACAATATCCTTCTCTCTATCTCTCTCTTTCTCTATATATACGCATACAAAATACAACATCCCTACATTGACACCTTCAGACCCTTATCTATACACCCATACAAACATACAATATCACTCTTTATATATACACCCATACAAAGTACAATATCCCTACATAGACAACCCCAAACAATGATCTATATACCCATACAAGTATACAATATCCTTCTCTCTCTCTCCTTCTCCATCTCTCTCTTTCTCTATATATACACCCATACAAACATACTGCATCCCTACATAGACAACCCAAACCCTCGTCTATATACTCATACAAGTATACAATATCCTTCTCTCTCTCCTCCATCTCTCTCTTTCTCTATATATACACCCATACAAACATACAAATCCCACATAGACAACCCAAACCCTCATCTATATACTCATACAAG